CTTGTAAATATCCAGAACCAGCATCTTTTGTAACCAATTAAGGCTAGGTTCACACCTGCACAACACCCGGGATCACGCGGTCCTGCACAATGCAGGCAGCGATTGCTGCACGGTCCCATTGATTTCAATGGGGTGACATACAATGTACCTTTTTTTGAAATTCACGATGCGCAGCTGTTTCGTGTTCGGAAGCACAGGCGGAATTGCAGCAGGAGATCACGCAATCCGCCCGGCGCAACTGGGGTGCCATTAGAAAATAATGGCACCCACAGCGCAATCAGCTCAAACCCTGGCGACTCCTGACCGTGCGGAATCGTGCACGATTGCCGCACAGTGAGGTGTTGCCTAGGTGTGAACCTAGCCTTAAAAAGGAGAACTATGGGGTTAAGGCTTTTCCCCATAGTTCTCCTTAGGGTAACGGGAGGACACAAACTAGCGTCCTCCCGTCACCCTAGGCTCAGTATACCGCGAGCTGTAGCTCGCGGTATACTGAGATGCCGCAGCTGAAGCGGATCCCGACAATTATGCCGGGATCCGCCCAGCTGCGTGACTGACAGCTGGCTCTGCCTATCTAGAGGCAGAGCCAGCTGTACCCGCCCCCTCCGTTTCCGCCAGACAACGCTGGCGGATCGGAGCGGGGAGGGGGGAATCCAGTCCATCCCGTCACGGCAGAGAGCTGGGACAGGATCGAGAAGTAAGGGAAAGCCGGTATGTGTTCGCTCACCTCCCGATCTACTGAGCCGACCTGTGACAGTCTCATTGTCACAGGTCGGCTAGAACTACGAGGTGAGTGAAAAGCACTCACCTCATAGTTCTCCTTTAATCAGCATTTGAAATAGCAAAAAACCCTTGTGACTTTAATATCACATTAACAAAGCCTTCCATTTTTTTTTAGTGGGGTGATTTTATAAATCAGACTCTGGGGATTTCTCTAGGCTTGGACACAAACAAACCGGAGCCCAACACTTGTGTTTTTCTAAGTCACACATAACAATGCAAGTCTGCCAGCTGCAATTAAAGGACAGCCTACAAGTCTACAATATGTCATCGCTTCCTGACAGAAACATATGTGGATTTCCAGAATAATCCTAATTTTTTTTGTGAAAGACAAAACATAAGGACAGCTGAAGAAAGGCATGGGGGGGGGGGGGGGGAAATCAGTCTCCACAGAAGGGC